TCACCCTGAACTTAGAATCAAAAGAAGAATTCAACTTCTGGAATGTACTGTTCTCCATATGCAAATAGTAGTGCTATCAAACCATAATATGTGCAATGACTACCAGAATGACCTAGATTATGATTGCCAAAAGTGTGGTTTATAGTGATTGTAATGTTTTTACAATGTTTAATGTATTGCAGTTTTGATCTTAATTTAATTTAAATGTTTATTTTAATTGTATATTGTTGTTAATGTCTATCTGTAAGCTGCCTTGAGTCCCCCTTGGGGTTGAGAAAGGTGGGATATAAATATCGTTAGTAAATAAATAAATAAATAATCACAGAATCCTAGAGTTGGAAGAGATCTCATGGACCATTCAGTCCAACCCCCTGCCAAGAAGCAGAAAAATCACATTCAAAGTACCCCTGACAGATAGCCATACAGTCTCTGTTTATAAGCCTTCAAAGAAGGAGCCTCTACCACACTCCGGGGCAGAGAGTTCCACTTCTGAACAGCTCTCACAGTTAGGAAATTTTCCTAAAGGTCAGGTAGAATCTCCTTTCCTGTAGTTTGAAGCCATTGTTCCACATCCTAGTCTCCAGGGCAGCAGAAAACATGCTTGCTTCCTCAAGTACTTCACTTCTAAGTACAGAGGCAAAGTACTGAGTTCAAATTATTGTACAAAGCCCCATGTCAACAAATTGCCCTTTCAAATTAGCAGATCACAAAACAGACTACATAAGCTACTATATTTTCCATTAAATTCAAGGTCACTTTAAAGATACAGGATTAATTCACAACAACAAATAATGCCACAGCAGCCTGGTGCCTCCATTAGCTCCCTAGACTTTTGCCGGGGGGGGGGGGTATATTTTCCATCTATCTTTCTTTATTCTGATTCCACTCCCTAATCTTCCCATTTCCCTGCTCTACAATTTCTTTTATGTTGGAATCTCCTTTCACCACTCTTTATATTCCTTAGCACCATGCTCCATAAAAACCTGTGTAAAGTTTTGGATTCAGCCAAACAAACAGCTTCAATCCCCCACCCCACCCCACCCTGAAACCAGAATGCAAATGTTCTGACAGTTTTGGCATATCACCAACAGCCAACCTGTATCAGAAGCTCTCCAAGAACAACTCAGCTGCTTTCAGCCCATTTTTTGATTTTGCACAGGTGCAAACATTTTCTCCTCCTGAGAGAGCTTACTTTGTAGGAGCTTTATGAAAAAAAGGAAAAGGGAAGGAAGGAAGATGAAAAAGAAGAACCACTACCAAAAAGTAATTTGCATCACCTCTGCCATTACCACTGATATATTAGGATGGAGCAGTCACAGGTAACAAATGATACCCTAGAGATGTTTGCTCTGGCAATGTTAGATAGCTCAATAAATATGTAACAATGAACAGTAGACATTCCAGGCCAAATAAATCAGATTAATAACCCCTTTACACATACTAACGACCCATCTGCATCCAAGCATTTACAAAGTAATAATAGAGCAGATCTCCCCTAGCTCTGTTTCCACTGAATGCTTACGTGTGGAGCCATCAATGAGTCTCCTCCACATTAAGGATTACTGGTCTGTAAACAAGGAGCTTTGTATATATTTGTGGTGACAAGTTCCTAACATCTCCAAACAATAAAGATTATACCAAACAATCTTTATTTGTTTTAAGTTTTCTGCTTTCCAAACTGGCACAGAAGCTGTGCTATCTCTCTCTTTTCACACATATACACACCCTGGTTTGGTAAATACATACATAATCAAGTCCATAAAAACAATAGTACAGCAAAACATTCCTTCTTGAGGAGCAGCCACCACACTGTGTGCAGTGTTTTGAGATTTCCAGATCTCTCCATCATGAACGATGTTACGAAGTGGAATGGGGAGGAATGGAAAAGGCTGATTTGATGCTAACGTCCTAACATCTTAAGACTCTTGTCTACACAGAGTACAAAATTATCTGGGTGAGTCTCATACTCTTAGCCCCTGAAAACCTCATGAATCATAGAATCATTGAGTTGGAAGAGACCTTTTGGGCCATCCAGTCCAACCCCATTTGCCAAGCAGCAAAATCACATTCAAAGCACCCCTGACATCCAACCTCCGTTTAAAAGCCTCCAAAGATGAAGCCTCCACCACACTCTGGGGCAGACAGTTCCACAATTAGGAAGTTATTGCTAATGTTCAGGTGGAATGTCCTTTCCTATAATTTGAAGCCATTGATCTGTGTTCTAGTCTCCAAGGCAGCACAAAACAAGCTTGCTCCAATGTATTGTCAAAGCTTGCTCCCTCCTCCCTATGACTTCCCCTCACATATTTATACATGGCCCTCATCATGTCTCCTGTCAGCTTTCTCCTCTGTAGGTTAAACATGCACAGCTCTTTAAGCTGCTCCTTGTAGGGCTTGTTCTCCAGACCCTTGATCATTTTAGTCACCCTCCTCTGGGCACATTCCAGCTTGTCAACATCCCCCTTCAATTGTGGTGCCCAGAACTGGGCACAGTATTCCAGGTTTGGTTTGACTGATGGGGACCATATATTGGAAACAACTTGAAGGCACACAAAAATGACATTAGTAGTAGACTCTCAATTAACCAGAACTCAAGGCTCCTCCCTCACAAATACACTTTTCCTACTCCTACTTCATCCATTTGGCCCGCCCATATGTTTCAATTTTACAGTAGGAAAATTTATTTTATTTCCCTACAGTATGTATTTTATTTTGATGTAATTTTTGTTGTTCTGTATTTTGCATTTTATTTTGCTGTATTGTATCTTCAGGCTTGGTCTCATGTTAGCCGCCCCGAGTCCCCTTCGGGGAGATGGTGGTGGGATATAAATAAAGGCTATTATTATTGTTGTTATTATTATTATTAGAAACACAACAAGATGAGCCCACAGCAGACAAGATCACTCTGCTGGCTGTTGTACTGGATCACACGTCGGACACTTCCCAAGTGTCTAGGATTGTGTGGTGTATTGGAGAATAATGGGTGCAGATCCCAGTAAGGTGACCTTTTGCAGCTGGCACATGGTAATTTTGTCAGCGCCGATTGTGTTTAAGTGCAGGCAAAGATCTTTAGGCACTGCCCCAGTGTGCCAATCACCACTGGGACCACCTTGACTGGCTTCTGCCAGAGTCTTTGCAGTTCAATCTTTAAATCCTCATATCGTGTCAGCTTTTCCAGTTGTTTCTCTTCAATCCTACTGTCACCTGGGATTGCAACATCGACAATCAATACTTTGTTTTTTAACATGATTGTGAGGTCATGTTAAAAAACTCTGTCTGTCTGTCTGAATTCAGAAGTCCCAGAGGAGTTCGACATGTTCATTTTCTGTAACTTTTTCCGGCTTGTGATCCCACCAGTTCTTCGCTGCAGGCAGATGGTATTTGTGACACAGGTTCCAATGAATCATCTGAGCAATGGTGTTATGCTTCTGCTTTTAGTCTGTCTGTGCGATCTTCTTGCAGCAGCTGAGGATGTGATCTATTGTTTCATTTGCTTCCTTGCAGAGTCTACACTTGGGATCTATTGCCAACTTTTCAATTCTGGCTTTGATGGCATTTGTTCTAAAGACTTGTTCTTGGGCTGCCAGAATCAGGCCCTCCGTCTCCTTTTCAAAGTTCCAATTATGTTTTTTTCTTTGTTAGTTTGGCTCTCAATTTTTCCCAGGAACTGTCCATGGAGAGCCTTCTTTCGCCAGTTTTCTCTTCTGCTCTGGATTGTGTTTTTACGGTATTCACTCTTTGTGTTTTGCACTTTAAGAAAAATACTATTGACTTCCCTCAATGTTGGTTCTTGACTGCCTTTCACATAATCTGCCAGGGCATGTTTCTCTTCTTCTACCGTTTGTTTCACTTGCAGAAGCTCTCTGCCTCCTGATTTTCTGGGCAGGTAAAGTCTGTCGACATCACTACGTGGGTGTAATGAGTAGTGGCTTGTCATCAGTTTTCTTGTTTTTCTGTCCAGATCATCTAGCTCTTCCTGTGTCCAGTTGACAATTCCAGCAGATTATCTAATGATGGGGATGGCCCAGGTGTTTTTGTTTTTTTGTTTTTTCATGTCAGGAGTGACTCCTGGTGTGAGAGAATTGGCCGGGGATGCCTGGATGATTTGATGTTTTCATCATCCTTGTGGGAGGCTTCTCTCGTGTCCCCGCATGAGGAGCTGGAGCTGATAGAGGGAGCTCATCCGCCTCTCCATGGATTCGAACCTGCGAGCTGTCAGTCTTCAGTCCTGCCGGCACAGGGGTTTATCCCACTGCACCACTGGGGGCTCCGGCCCAGGTGTTGATAGCCTTGATCTTCAAAACCTTTCTGACTTTTTGGATATATTTTTTGCTGACCACATTTTTCACATGCCCATGCCTGATATTGTCCAACTGTCGTATGCCCAGATATTTATAGTCTTCAGGCTGATTGCATTTTATGGTTTGTCCGTTTGGTATCTCTATATTACTATTATTATTATTAATTATTATTATTAATTATTATTAATTATTATTATCGGAGTCCACACTCAGATCATGTGGGATGTCCTGCCTTGATATTCTGGGATATAGGGCTGTGGGGAAGGGCCCCGGTGAGGGCAGGGGAGGGAGGCGAAAGTTTCCCTCTTTCCCTCCTCCCTTTCCCATCCTTTCCCCTCTTTCCTTGCTGCCTGCTCCATCCACTCCGCCTTCCCTTTCCCTTTCCCTCCGCGCGAAGGGTGAAGGGACCCAAAGAGAGGCTGAGCCAAGGCATTGCCTGGACAGGGACGAAGGCAAGACCCGAATATCCGCCGCCGGGCGAAGAAGGACGCGGTTCCCGGGGGAAAGGCTCCTTTCCAAGTCAGCGGCTGAGGATGGAAAGCAGGAAGGAAGAAGGAAGGAAAGCAGGAAGGGCTTTCGGGGAGCGTTTCTTTTCTCGGAGGGGGAAAGGTGTAGGACAGAAGTAGCCTCCGGTGGGGCAAAGGGAAAAGGAAACCTGAGGAGAGAGGGGGGGGGGCATGGAGGAGCCATGCTGCTTACCTCTATCCAGGGAGAGCGGCTGGACCACAGTCGTGGTCGCCATGTCTGCGGCTGAAGTGAAGCTGGGCTCCTACGCGGAGGGAGGGAGGGAGGGAGAAAGAGAGGGAGAATGTCCGCGCTTCGGGAAGGGAGGGGGCGAGGCCAAGCGGGGAGGGGGAGGGGCTACGCAAGAGGCGCGTGGAAGGGGGAAGGAGGGAGGGAGGGAAGGAAGGAGAGGCGCGTGGAGGGGGCGCGAGGGAGGGCGCGCGCGCGCGCAAAGACGATGCATGCCGGAGTGGGAGCGCTCCTCTGCCGCAACGCCGCTGTCCAGCGCGAGGGAATAAACACGACTGATCAGGAGAGGTCAGCGCGAGGCCAGTCGCACCCCCGGCGACGGCCTGAGCTGGCCTCGGCTTGGGCCAAGGCTCCCGGGAGCTTCAAGGGCAGCCCCGCAAAAAAAAAAAACAAAAAAAAAACAAGCCCACGCTCTGCTTTGGCTTTCTTTGAAGGAGCGAAGGGAGAGAGCCTCTTTAGGGACGCCTGCCAAGCGGGCCAAGCGAGGCAGGCGGAGATCAGCCGAGGTGAAGCGCAAAGCCCTTGTATAGGGGCCCTGGCCTGGCTCGCAAGGAAAGGCAGCAAAGCAGGCAGGTAAACACTGCCATGGGTCACTATGGAACACACACTAGCCAGGATGGCTCAGCTAGGAATCGGTTGGAAACAAGCTGTAAAAGATCACAGGGGAAGTCAGTCATGCCAACAAGTGCCCTGGGACACTTTCACACCAATATTTATTTCACTTCACTTTATTTCTTAATTAGTCGCTCTCCACCAAGGTGCTCCGAGCGACTTACAATTTAAAACATCATATCACAATCAGGCCCGTAGCCAGGATTTTGATTCTGGGGGGGGGGGGGGGGGCTGAGTCTGAGTGAAAGAGGGTCTACCCTAGCAAACCTTTTGTATCGTTACCCCAATACCCCCATGCATATGAGATATACTGAGCATGTGATCAGATCATGATATGAATAAACATAACAGTTTAAATAATGTACCAGTAAGGCCTTTTCGCAGACCACCATGAGAATTTCGGGGGGGGGGGTTAAGTCCCCATAGCCCCCCCCCCCCAGCTACATGCCTGATCACAATATAAAAACATTCAACATAAAAACATTCAGCAGTGACTATTTGGCAAATTAGATCTGAGCGCTTATACAACTCCAACATTTATTTACTAGCTTGGGGTACGCCGATTGTTTGAGAAAGGCTTTGGGTTGTTGTATAGTTTTTCGGGTTGCATGGTCATATTCTAGAAGCATTCTCTCCTGATGTTTTGCCTGCATCCGTGGCAAGCATCCTCAGAGGTTGTGAGGTTTGTGGAAATTGGAAAACTTGGTTTATATATCTTTGGAAGGTCCAGGGTGGGAGAAAGAACTCTTGTATGTCAGAGCTAGGTGTGAATGTTCGGTGTGAGAAAGGCTTTGTTTGTCTGTGCTCCAAGTTTAGTCTGCATCCAATGTTGGCTGGGTTCAGTGGGTGCAAGTGAATTTTGGTCTTGATCAATCATTGGTGCATGTTGCAGTGATCTCTTGAAGTTAGTGAAGGTAGTGCAAGTCCCATCATTCCATGGTCCATTCTCCCCCAAACGACACCAGGATGTAAAGTGGGTCATGGGGAGTCTGCGTGACAACTTTGGTCCTGAAAGTAAGAAATAAAATGTGTTGTTGTTGTTGTTGTTGTTGTTGTTGTTGTTGTTGTTGTTTTTGTTATACATATGCAGAGTGCTAATAGACATTGTGGGACACATGTACACAGAAGAAATTGCTCAAGAAAACCTCAGCAAATGTGATGCTTATACTGGGGAAGCTCTGTGGCCACCATCTCCAAAGGGTGGGCGTGTTAACTAGTGTGTAACTATTCACCTATCAGAGTGGTTTGTAGCTGTGCATAAAGGCAAACATGGACACCAATGTGGAAGTTGGGAAGTGCAATAGAGTTGGTAATCAAATATGTAGTTGTATATATCCCTGATGTACTTACTCATGTGTACACAATGAATTGTATATAATGAATTATTGCTATATGCCTTCAAGTCATTTCTGACTTATGGTAATCCTATGATAACCCTTTCATGGTTTGTTTGTTTGTTTTTAGGCTTGGAGCATGTGATTCACTCAAAGTCACCCAGTGGGTTTCCATAGCAGAGCAGTGAATCAAAGCCTGGTCTCCAATGTCATACCCCAGTTCTCAAAGCACTACACTGGCTCTTACAAGATATACGTAAATGCACCTTGATTCATACACATTACATGAAACAGACAGATTTTCAGTCTATATCCCATTGAAGATGTGATAACCACATGGTTCTTCAAGTAGAGTTCCCAGCATTCTTTGCTGCTGGATTTGCTGGCTTGGTGTGCCTTATTTGGACTACCAATGTCTGGAGGGCAGCACAATTCTTTCCACTGAGTTAGAACAAACCAGGAGTAAACCATAGTTTTAGATCTTCACTCATTCTTTTATCAAAGTTTAAACAAACCAGCCAGAGATCTGAAGATCGATTTCCTAGGTTTCATTGATTCTTATAACAATATTGCTCACCTGTGGGTTTTGAATTTCCCCCGCTTCTGACTTATTTTTAAATTGGAGCTCAATAGTTCTTGTTGCCATTCATGTAATGTCACTTTCTGAACACCATCTGCCTTAGGCTCTTGAAATGGCATCATTCTGATTAGCTCAAAGTTCACCGCAGAAGTTGTCATGTTTGCCTTCAAGCTGACCCACATTCTGCTCACTGCTAGAAAATAAAATTCAAATGAGTTTAGTACTTTCTGATGGGTTTACAATCAAAGGCTTTTCCTCAGAGGATATAAACAGATCTGGGACTACGATGTGTTCAAAGGGTGCTTTTCATGCTAAATAGCTGCATCTTTTCTGACAGTACTGGGGGAAAGGAGCTAACATTGAACACATCAATCATAATCAAAACTTTTCAATGTCTAATTTCTTCTAAAGCTCTGTAGTTCTATTGTTGCAAGTTCAAAACAGATTTAGTAAGCTGAAAATAACAGTTTTCGTACTGTGGTGTGATGTATGGTTGGGGTCTAGTGATAAGTCATGAAAATCCTTCCATGATGTCAAATGTCAGATGCTTTCAGCCTCATTATGAATATGTGACTGGTGCCTGGTGAAAATGGTGTGAACCCCCATTACCCTATATAGTCACATATAAGTCTAAAAAAAAGTCAATCTGAAAAACTTTGACCAACTTATCCATGGTCAGAGTGAGTACTGTACCCTATGTATTACAAAAAATGGAACCATGCCCTTTTCTGAGTTGAGTGGTGAAACACCAGAGCTTAGTCCATCACCGGAAAACCTAAAAGAAGCACCAACCCACTTTTCTCTCCACCGTTGTGTTACTTTTGGCCTTTTTGAATACCTTGGTGACTAAAGCTGATGGCCAGGAGTGGTTGGCCCTATTAAAATGCATAATATTTCATATTTGTATGTATGTGTTTTATCCTGTATAATTTCTGCTATGTAAATCGCCTAGAGCATCTTGGATGGAGGGTGATTAATAAGTAATTAAAGAGGATGATGATGATAATTTTTACCAAGCCTGCCAAGGCAATGAACTCCATAGAACTCTACATAGATACACACTATCAAACATCAAGAGACCTATTAATTTCTCACATAAAAATAGGCTTTTTAGAATCATGCCTTTTTTATATCTACAGCAAGAAAGATGTTTGGATATATAGATGTATGTGCTCCATCTGAAAGCTATATGCATTTTATCACACTATTCTACTTCAACTGGGATTTACAGTTTAGGGATGGCCTTTCAGAATTCTCAGAGAGCTCTAGTTCATCCCCAAACTACAAGCCCCAGGATTCCATAGGATGTTACAAGAGCTGTGGAAGGAAAATAGGAAAGGGACCAGATCCAGATCTTCAAATGACATGACTGAGCATTTTCATGTTGCGGTTGTGTGTATGTATGTGCCTTTAAGTCATATGTTGAATTAAAGTGACCTTATGAATTAATGGGGCCCCCTGATGGTGTAGCGGGTTAAACCACTGAACTGCTATACTTGCTGACTGGAAGGTTGGTAGCTTGAATCCAGGGAGCGGGATGAGCTCCCACTATTAGCCTCAGCTTTTGCCAACCTAGCAGTTTGAAAACATGCAAATGTGAATAGATCAATAGGTACTGCTTCTGCAGGAAGGTAACAGTGTTCCATGCAGTCATGCTGGCCACATGACCTTGGACGTGTCTATGGACAACGCTGGCTCTTTAGCTTGGAAATGGAGATGAACACCACTCCACAGAGTTGGACACAACTAGACTTAATGTCATGGGAAACCTTTACTTTTACCTATGAATTAATAGGGTTTTCATAGGCAAGAAATACTGGTGGTTTGGCCAAGTCATTTTTCTCTGAATTATAGCCAACAGCACCTGGTGTTCCTTGATACTCTTCCATCCAAATATTAACCATTTCAGCTGGGATTCAGGCCTAGTTTAGCTACTGAAACATTTTTGTTGTCCTGTTTTGCTTCCAAGAACAGACAGGATATGTTGCCCTTAGGAATTTAGGCTTATAGTGGAGGATGAGTTGATATGCTGTGAGTCACAGAGCAAAGATGCTAAATGAAGTTGGATCATAGATCAAATAATATGTCAGCCATAAATCCCTCAGTCCCATCTTCTGGAAATGCCCATCTAAATGTGAAAAGAGCCACCATTGTGCATGGCATAGTGGTTGGAATGCTGGTTGAATTCCTGCTGGTTCAATTCATTTCAGACACTGGATGGCCTTAGAGTATTATTCCTCTTTCTCAGAGAACCTTGTGATGATAAAATGAGGACAAAACACATGTTTCATTCTGAAAGATTCAACATACATATAATAAAAGAAACTAACAGGGATGGATTGTGTCTCACCTAAGAGAGGTCATCCTACAGGACAACAAAGAATGTTTCAGTATCCAAACTAGGTTTGAATCCCAGCTGAAGTGGACTCAGAAAATTAAACTTGTAAAATACGACCTGCTTTTATCCTTCATGTGTGATTCTCGCTTCCTATGACAGATGAGTGACCAATCCAGTGCCTACTT